CCTAAACTTCAAAAGAGAACTCATGCATGCATTGATGTTAATGGAAGTCAGTTTAAATTTTTTAAAATAAATAAAATAACCCTATGTGATTTGTTAAAAGAAATATAATACCCCTCAAGTGTCCTGACTTTTGGGCCACACTGTATGTGTTTCCTTTTAAGGCCTCGGCGTTATTGACGAACGTGTTTAGTTTAGTAACTGTAAAGTACTGCATAGCTCTTTCACAACACGGTACACGTACATCTACTCAGACTTCCATATCCTGTATATATATTAAAAAAACCTGTTACTATTTTTATTTTATTTTACCAGGTATAGCACATTGAGCTATAATATCTCTCTTTCAGAAGCAACCTGGCCACAAATGTGGAACTTTATAGCAGACAAATACTCTAAGCACATCTTTATTCTAAATGTGGAGGGAAAAACCAGAGGACCCGGAGAAAAATGCACGCGACCACAGGGAGAGAGACACGCAGACTCCAAATATACAGCAGCAGGCATCAGGGTCAGCATCGAAGCCACGACCTCCTGTATACCACGTGAGGTAGTTCACATCTCGCCACCGTGATGATGATGAGAGAGAGACACGCAAACTCCAAATATACAGCAGCAGGCGTCAGGGTCAGCATCGAAGCCACGACCTCCTGTATACCAGGTGAGGTAGTTCACATCTCGCCACCGTGATGATGATGAGAGAGAGACACGCAGACTCCAAATATACAGCAGCAGGCGTCAGGGTCAGCATCGAAGCCACGACCTCCTGTATACCAGGTGAGGTAATTCACATCTCGCCACCGCGGCACCCCATATAACTGGGTCCATGAACCTCAGCATGGCCCTTGGGTCAGTGACGCGGCCTAGCAGTGGCGTTCGCCGCCTGTTGCAGAGGTCCACGGTTCGAATCCAGCGGTCGCCCAGGTTAATAATCAAGTACTACCGTTTGCTTCTCTGTGAACGTTAATGATCCCCTGACATCCTTCGCAAGAGTAGGCCACTGTGTGCCGGCGTGAGGGTCCGAATTTGGCAAATTCGGACCCTCACGCCGCAATTTACTCAATTGGGATTGTACATATAGCAATCATCGCGCCCTACTGGCAGACTTGCTGTCCTTCCCCCGCACCTCCAACTATCATGGGTGGCTACGTACGGTGCGAAAGAAGTTCAACATACATACAGACTGATGACAAGGGATGACTTGCAATCCTGGTCTCTCGAGTTCTCACCTGGTTAAACTAAATACACTTTAAACTCTACCCAAAAGAATGAGGGCATTAATTGTACGTCTGCGTAATCAATGGAATGCCTTACGTTATATATGGGAAACGTGTAGAAACCAACTAAAACTTGAAATCCAAGTAATAATTTACATTGCAGTTGAACTGCGCTGTTGTGTATGGTTACTTGCCACACTTACTGAGACCACAATGTAAATATTGTCGTGATTGCTGATGAAAAGCCAACGTTCTGTCCTGCTCAAGCACTGAGGCGGTGCTCATCTCCTGCTTACAGCCCTGAGCCAGAGGTGCAAATTCCACATTCCTATGGCAGGGGTGTTTCTGACCATAATGGGGTACCTATCGTATGAACTCCTGAAGGACGATTGGCCGAGTCAAGCCCCTGACCAGGATTTGAAATTTCAACCTTCGGATCGCGAGCCGCTCGCTCTCGACCGCAGAGCCACCTGGCGATTTGGTAGCCATTCCACATTCCTATGGCGGGGCTCAGTGCGTGGCAAACAGAACGAACGAGTTGACAAGCGCTCGACAAATAACCCAGCCGTGCCACGGAGCTCAATCGTCAAATCTGCGTTGCGTCGGGAAAAAAAAAACACGCGTGTGTACGTTCACTCGCACACAACAAGCTCACAAGGGGCGGGGGAGGGGGCCTTCCTTATGCAAGACAATATGGAATATCACGCGCGCGCGCATTCACAGACACGCGAGATTGCCTTCCTCCGTTAATTATTAACGGGCAAGCCAGATGTGCTGACAACATTAACAAGGTCAGTCTGTCCGTGCTTGGTTAGGGCGGGGCCACGGCGGGTGGAAGGGGTGGGGGCTTGGGGGTGGGTAGGTGTAGGAAAATGAGTGATATAACTTCAATCCATCCAGGGCGAAGGGAAAAATGTCATCTATATTGCACCTTAATGGGTCTTCACCTACTGATACGTTAAGGATTAGCGTTCTCTTTACAAAGGTCTCCCCTTGAAGAGTGATATCCCGCTGACAGATTACGTAAGCGGTGCCGCGAGAGAGATGGTGACGGCACGAGGGGGATTTCATCCAGCAGTAGACAAACCATTCACTGCGTTTTGATTTGAATAGAATTAAAAAAAAATGTAGGCATCAAGCGACTCATTTGTTTCTCCAAAACGGAATTGTTTCTCAGCAACGGCCGCTCCTGGCATCGGCTCCTTTGATTTATCGTTTTTTCACAGCAGCTCCCCCATTATGATTGTGATTGGACTGAATCTGTCACACAGAACTTTCAACTCAAAATGCATTAGCTGCGTCTTCAACACATTTGTTTGACAAAATATATCAAGGGCATATACAATTTATATATTTATCCTGTAGAATATGTACTTTCGGAGCGATTGTAAAACAACAAAAATTCCATCCGATTTGAAAATACAATTTTTGGAAAAAAAATTACTTATTCAAATGAAAAAAAATACATATATTTGGAATCCCTCTCAATGGATGATGATGACAGTTTGTGTCAAAGATTCCCCTTGCATTTTCTCCAGATGCTCTAGTTTCCTGAAAACATCATAATATAGAGGACCACAGAGCTTAGGCAAAAGTATTAATGCCAGCTCACCGCCTGGCTGCAACCTTTCCCGCACGCCTGTGATTCCTCCTTCTCCTCGTTCTCTCTCCCTCCTTGAGAGCGAGCAAATACAGTGCAGTGGCCGCTCGTTACAAGTTGAAATTATCATTAATAAGTACACCCATGTCTCCAGTAGTGTGGCATTGGTTGGCATGGGCCCTGGTGCAAGGAATAACAAACCCGCAACTTTGGCTGTCGCCTGATGAGGCTGATTGCAATTACCGACGAAATGTCATGGTACTCGAATTGTAAATGGTGTAGTGGGTTTACTCTCTACGAGCTGAACTCGCAACTAATTGGCACGTTCTGTTTCCGTGACACAATCTTCCTAACCGGCTGTGTCGGGCGGTAGCAGGTTTAACGGCACATTTATATTTACGCGATCTAACCCAAAAAAAAACTCTTATCGATAATATTGGCCGCAAGAGCCTACGTGTTAAAATAACATTCCCCCCACCCCTACCCACTCTGACCCATGTGACACGGTGCAGCCTCACCGCCTGCACACTCGATTGCTATGCGCTCCTGCATGTCTCCTTGGATTTACAGATTCTAGCCGTCACTATGGGACTGTACCCTCATACATCTCGCATATGGTTCTCAATAGAACATGACTTGTCTAATTCATGAAGCGGCAATACAGCACTCATTCTTGCTGTCACTGGGGATACTGCCATTAAAGAAGAAATAATTCAACTTCCTGGGCCCGAGACGTCTAAAAAGGCCTTTCCATATATATGTATAAAAAGGTATACAAACAATCCAGGACATGGACGTACTGCGTTATAGAGCAATTGTTTTCTTGAATACATCTCTGAGGACCGTCGAGTGTGATTTTCTTGCATGCGCGTGTTATTTCTAAGAATTCCCAATTTCCTCCCAACAAGCCAAATCACTCATTCATGGAATTCGCCAAGCGTCCCAAATGCAGAGGACTCTCCTGAAGAATTCCGTGAGACTTCATTGAGACTTCCCTGGATATACAGAGGATATTATTCCTATCATAACTAAAATGTGGATGTACTGGGACTGTCCCAGCCCAAACCAGGACATTTGGTAGGTTGAGACAAAGAAAAACTCTGCGATGTGTTGTCGGGTTACACGGAGTGCCCTTTGACATGCGGTCCCATGTGTCGCTCGCGCCTACTGGACAAGTGTGAAAAAAGAGCTTCACAGCTCATCGGATTTCCTTCAGGATAAATAAAGATTCTGATTCGCTCCGCATCCTGGGGAGCTTCTTCAGCAACTCAACTGGGCGGCTCGTTTTCTCCCTCGATTGTACCGCATCGCCGGATCACGTTGCTGAATAATAAGTTCCCCGTGCGCGGAGTTAAACGTCAGACATCGTGCTGGAACAACACGCAGGGGACAACCCGAAAACTCATCTGAGAGCCACAGAGCTCGGCCGTAAAAGATCTACACGGGAGTAACAAGCAAGCTACAGTCATCCTTACAGCGGCTTTTGGCTAACCATCTAATGAAGACGGTCACTGCGTCGCGAGCCTTCAGATGCACTTCTGCGGCCGTCCGGAAGGCTTTCCCATCCGATATTAGGAAGCCACTGGGAGATATGCACTTGTGTGTTCAGTTTGTTGTCCTTCCCCCGCACCTGCGATTAACAAGGTTGGCTCCGTACGGTGCGAAAGAAGTTCAACAACATACATAACAATATATATACAACATACACCGTTCATGGGACCATTTTTTTTGCCAGTATTATGAAAAAAGGGAAGAAATAGTCTTTACCCTTTCTGTAAATAAAACAGGTGTTCAGATGTTCAAACAACAAAACATCTTTTGTACTGCTGATGTAGATGCAGAGCAACAATTACAATTTCACATTCAGGTGGTCAAGCCAGATAACCACGTCAGGAGCAGCGGAGTGTACCGCTGTGATGTCTCTTTCGTATTTGTGGTTCGTGCATTGCATCCTTACACGTTGTTAAGGCCTGTTCTGGATGGCCACAGTCGCACCATTGGAGAGTTAACATTTTCCATTCGTGTGTCAGGTATCTGCATCTGCCACGATTTACGCAGCAGCTGCTTTGTGGAAGACACCAAACAAGATGCCCGTGACGAAGTCTCACCGAATCTGCATTAACCACACATCACGCTCGCGGTAAAACACGCGAAAGCAAACCGTCGCTCTGAAAACATTCGCTCACCTTGGCTGCGAGCGAGGAGTTTGGGTTTTCGAGCAGCTCCCAGAGCTTGCGCCTCTTGTCGGCGCAGCACGTGCCCTCGAACTCGTCGCCCTCGCGCTCCCGGGCGCTCTCCGCCTCGCGCCGCAGCTCCTCGCTCATCTGCTCCTTCTTCTGGTGGTAGCGCGCCTGGCAGCACGTCTCCAGGTAGATCTCGTCGACGCCCCAGTAGTCGAGCTCCTGGCCGAAGGACAGCGCGCACATCTCCTCGCTCATGTGCAGGCGGCCCGTGCGGTAGAAGTTGAGCACCGACGCGAAGGCGCCTGGGTGCCGATCGAAGAAGTATTCGTTGTCGGCGATGCTGTAGTCGTCGCACAGCTCCGAGAGGGCGCCGTGGGTGTTGGTGGCGTGGAGGCGGCCCAGCCGGGTACGCGGCAGCCTCTCGAGCGTGCGCCACAGGACCTCGTGGACGAGGCCGCCCACGTTGAGGCGCACGCGACGAGCGGCCGCCTTGGAGCGAGCGATCTCGGCCGGGTCCGGTGGGGCGCCCGGCGACTTTGGGGAGGACCGCGACGAGGTTCCCTTGCGATTCAGGTTCCACAGTTTGAAGTTCTTGGCCGGCGATGCGCCGGCCGACTTGCTGACCTCCATGGCGTCGGAGTGATGTGGGTGGCCGTGATGGACGGTGGAGGTGGTGGAGGGAGGGGGGTAAGATGTTCTACGGGGATCGGGCGGCCTCCAGCGAGGAGCAGAGGACTCGGGATCGCGTCTTCAGAGGGAGTCTGAGAAAGAATAAAAACGGGCGCAACACATCGTTTGTTATGATCGTCAACAACGACGATGCCGTTGTTGTCATCCTCGTTACGAACATGTCCAGCGGCGTAGCTATCGAGCGTGCAGGGGGTGTTGCAACTGTACCGGGGGCGCACACAAGTCGCAGGGACTCGGGTACCTGGCTACAAAGAGGGCAGGGATTGTGGACAGGGTGTCGCGCGTAATCGTGAATTGTCACTCGGTGCCCGTGCCAAACACACCGCACCACCCACCGTATCGCGATCATCTTGGTCAATGGTTGCAATGGTGAGTCAAATGCAACCCCTTCTTCTCGCAGGTGAGGTAAGTTTAGTACATGTCCAGACATTGGGCAGATTACTAACAAGATGTTAAAGTACCTGTAACCCATTACATTCCACAACTGCGCGCCTATAAATTATTTCACGATCCAAAAACAATACAATACAAAGGCCCAAATAATGCAATGCTCTGAAATGCAAGGTGATTGAATTCCCCGTCCAACCTTCAGTCGGTGTGAAATTAGAAGTTGTCAGACTCTAAACTCACTCTTTGCATTTCACGTTACGCCCGACAAACGAGAACAATTGGCCATCAGTGATTGTGATATAATTTCAATTGCGTACGGAGGATTCACATTCAGTGTTTTCTAATGCCATTTCTTGCGGCGAAAATACCGTAAATTTTCGTTCTTTCATCACATCCCGTTTTTATTTGAAAGTAGTGGCGTTCGGCATTAGAGGGCCAAAAATCACGCCGCACTCAGCCACACAGATTGGCGATGGCTAACGGCACACGCACTCAACAGCGGGCAGCAGAAAGCAACGTCGGGCTTTGGATAACATCTGATAGACGGCAGGCTAATGCGTGTGCGATACAGTATTGTATTTGAATATTTATTTTAAACAAAAACGCAATTTAAACAACGCAACAAAAACCACGACGCAGCTTGCACAACTGAGGCTGGGAATGTCCGATTAGGTTTACAGGAGTTTATGAAATTAAAGGCCCAAACAGAAAATCATTTATATTTATTGAGATTAAATGGGAAGTCAGTGGCGCGCGTGAACATGCCACAGCTAGAGATGCGGCCTCGGATTAAACGTGAATTTTAGCCGTGCAGGTTTTTTGTTGTTGTTTCATTTAACTCAGCGTCAAATGTCCCAGATATTGCACAAATGCAAGAAGAAAAACAATCACAGGGAAACTTAATCGCTGCAACGGTGAGATAAGACCACGAGTGTGGCGCACAGGCTATGAAAGGTGATGAGCCACTTAGGCCCGACTAATGCGGCTGTGAACGCAAGGTTCTCGAAACACCCATTTACGGTTTGTGCGTTGACATGTTTATGTTGAAATTGAATGTGACACCCAAGCACTTTGAAAAGAATACATTGGGGGAATGTGTAACCAGAAAGTGCCCAATTAGTAAATTAAGGAGTTCAGCAAAAAAATCCATAGTTCTTGCACTGTATTTCAATGTCCCAGTGTCTTTGTTCTCCGCCTTCAACCTGTAATGACCAGTGTGGTGAAGTATGGTCAAATACCCACATGGTGTGGGGAGGCCCTCAGTGAGCAGTCCATTGGCAAAAGGACTGTATGCGAACATGTTAGTGGACTAACTTATTTGGTAAATTGTCCATTGGTAAAAACAGGCGATTGTTTGTTATGATAGAGATGAGTCAAGGAACATTGAAGTTTGTGCTCTCCGGTTGCTGGGTTAAAAAGTGAGCAATGTCCTTGCCCAATCCCGGCCAGCCATCTCAAATTTTCAACAAACAAACTTGCTAAAAATATAAGCTGGAAACTAAACATGTCTTTGGCGTTTTGGTTGCGTCGCCTCCTTATACGCACAATGACAAGGAACTGAACAGACGAGCGTGGATTCCCAAATGATTTTGGCATCCGCTCAACTCCAAAAAATACGCATTGTTCTTTGCAGTTGAGCACGTTAAAAATAATTAACACATTAACACTGCTGGACGTAATTACACCTTAGAGATAATCAACAGTTTTTTGACAAGTCAAAACAAGAAGCACTTCCAACGACGGCGAGGGACAACTGACGAATCGGGAGGGAGACAACTAAAACTGTGCCGAAGATGTGAGAGAGAAATCGAGGCAGAGATATTAGGGAAATGAAGACTACGGAGCGAGTTATGGATATGCATGTCGAACGTCTTGTGCACTGTACGCAGTCAACCGTGCTAATGTGAGGTGGATATGAATGTGGAAACAATTAAAGAGTAGAGAATCCTTAAAAAAATATTTTGATTGTATTTTCCAATGAAAAATAACGGTTGTGACTTTCTAATCAAATGAATGTTTCTCTTTGCTCAAAACATTGTCAAACATCACGCTCTACGGTGGGAGTACCGCATGTTTTTCGGCGCTATATCTGACGTATCCCCGCACCTCCAATGAGCACGGTTGGCTACGTACGGTGCGAAAGAAGTTCAAAATGCATACGTATCGCTCCGTGTGCTGGGAGCTTTTCCGAACGCCTCCCATGTTCAGAAATGCATTAAGTTCTGAACACCCGAGAGCTACAACAGAGCACGAACGTGGAAACCTATGCGGCCTTTATCACACCATTCTGGGGCCCTTTCCTAGATTGTTCAGATTCGAGATAATCGTTTTGAGCTTATTCCTGTTCCTCCAAAGACACAACATATTTACATCCCACTCACAAAACTGCTTTACCAACTACGGTGTGTCAAAAGCCAAATTACGAACGTTAACCCCACCAGCTCATTAAACATACGAGTTATATGTGCCTCGGCTTAAAAACATAAATATTGTTTCCATGACCTCTGGAGTATTTAGGAATGCCCCTGTCCCATCGGAGGTCATTAGCCCGTGGTGAAAATTAAAATGGTAATGACCAGACTCAAGGCCATTTTTGGAAGAAGAAAAAAACAGTTCGCCAAATTTCTTAAATTTAAGATTCGATTTGTCATTGACTGGTAATGGTGCAATCTTTTGGTAAGTTGGACTCCTATATATGCATTGCAAATAATAATACTGTAATACAAATCTAGTTTACTTAAGACGGCTATCATATGTACAGTATTCTACATATATTCCTTCTCGACCCTGGTGTTCACAATCATCATCCGGTATTCAGCAAAAAAAAGCTAACACCCAAAATATTGCAAGTGCTTAAGATAATAACAGAAAACCTTTTTAAAAATATTAATTAAACAAGCAGGCAACAAAGATACTTCACCCCCCACCAATTACAGGGCTACAACCTTTACCCATAACCATTCAATGAAACGTGACGCACGTTCACCTGCTGCTCACCGGTAAGAAAAAAAAGTGAAACCAGCACTGTAGACACAGAACCGGCGAGCGGTGTTTGGTTACGACGGCGCACATCAGAGAGAGAGAGGTGGCAGGGCGGCAAGTGAAGTCTGCGCCAGGCAAAGAAGCCGCTCGCTCACCTGATCCGACATCACGACCAGCCGCACGGATCGACGCCCCGCAGGGCAGCCGAAATCCTTGACCGCGCGCGCGTCTCTCCATCGTGCAGGCTTATCCCGTGCGTCTGCCTCTCCGTGCGTGCGCGCGCGTGCGTCTCAAACTATGCAAATATCTCCTTCCCACTCAGCCTGGCTCTCTGCGACGTGTCGTACGTGTGTCTAAGTCTTTGGCCTTAATGTGCGTGCCAACTACACACTTGCCAACTACACACTGCTTAGACTTAGACTGGAGGGGGGAGAGGGGTGGGGGGTGTGTGTCTTTGTAGAAATCTCTTTCCCACTTTACTGTCGGTCGATGTGCATGTCTGACTCCCTGGGGCGATGAGTATGGTGTTTTATTCCATGCTTACCTGCCCCACCTGCTCAGAGTGCTCCTCTCATTGCTCCTGTAATACACGCAATGCCCTCATTTAATCGGTTCACTTTCTCTTCACCGCTTCCGTCTCCCTTCATCTATTTCGGTCAGCCGGTGCACATTTATCTCACTGTCGCCGCATCGACGCGTCCCTCTCTCTCTCTCTCCTTGTTAACGACGTGTCCGTCAATACATCGCTCGCTATTTCCCGCTGCGTATTAAGAGTCGTCTTGTTTGCGATACGGATGCCCACCTGTACATTTCTGCATCTGTGTACTAATCGATATCGCTGTCTGGTCACTCATGCGGGTATTAATGATCAATTGCGTAATCTCGTTTTGGTCAGTTCACCACCACCTCCCTCCCCCTTTACTACCTGTCTCTCTCGCCTCTCTGATCGTCCATGTGCGCGGGCGCCTTTCTAAATGTCTCTCTGCAGCAGCAAACGCTGTCTCACTCCACAGCCCGTCCGCCCGTCTCGACGTGCATCGCTCTCCGTCCGTGCTTGCCCGTCCGTCCAGCGCCTTCTCGAGCCCTCTCGTCAGCGTCTTTCCTCTCTCTGTCTCTCTCTCTCCCCCCCCCCCTCGTCTTTCCTCGATCTCCCTGGTGTGTCTGCGCCGCCGTGCTGTGCCTCTCCCCGCCCGGTGCCGTGTGGCGAGGAGAGCGCACCGTGCCGAGGGAGAGAGGGTGTAGGGGGAGAGAGAGAGAGAGAGGCGGGGGTGGTGGTGGACAGGGGTCACAACTTTCTCCCCAGCTCCTCCTCCTATCCATCGCTCTGCCTAAATCCCTTCCTTTCCTTTCCGACTTTACTCTAATCACCCCGGACGGCGCATCTGTCACGCGTATTTCTCGTCTCCTTTTTTTTTGCGGCAGGGTGGCACTTTCGTTGGAAGGGCCTGGGTTCAATTATTGGCTCGCCCCTTTTCCATGTGGGGTCTTGAATGTTTCCCACCCAGTTCTGCGTAGGTCTCCTCAGGGCTCTGCAGCGTCCCCCCCCCCCCCCCCCCCCATCAGCTAAACATCGATACGATGCCCCTTGAATCATTAGACCTCCTTTGCCAGTACCAAAATGTAATAATAGGGTTTTTCCCCTTTTTACTGGCAACAAAACTGAAACCTTTTTCGAGGAGTCATGTCTGCATTAACCACAATACCTGCAGTCAAAATGCAAACAAAAAACATACTATGATAAGATATGCATTGTCCTTGAAACTGATAGGTCCACACCAAGGGACGGCTTTCTTTACCAATCAGTTTCAAAGACAATGCATATCTTATCAAAGTATGTTTTTTTGTTTGCATTTTGACTGCAGGTACTGTGGTTAATGCAGACATGAATCCTTGTAAAAAGGTTTCAGTTTTGTTGCCAGAAAAAAGGGGAAAACCCCTATTAATGCCCTTGAAATTGGCGTTGACCAAATTTCTTAAGGTTGAAAAAGAATCGCACGGAAGTCTGCGTAGATTTCCCGGGTAAATAAGTTATTTTTTTTATTTTGTTTGGTGCTCAAACAGGTCCATGGTTCAAGCTCTCTCCATCCCACCTGATGTCGCTCTGCCTCCTCTCCAGCTCGTAACCCCGCAGTTCACCATGGGACTGAGCCATGACTGTAGATGAGGCGGTTGAGTTGTCTTCCTTTTTGCATTTCCCGACAGTGTCGTGCTAGGTGACACCATCACTGCATGCCGACTAAGGGCATCCGCCCAAGGACTGCATTAAGTCATTGTAAAATTCAAGTCAATGCATCTCCCCATTCCAATGGGCAACGGAGACACCACACGTGTCTCTGTTGGTGGTCCTCAGGCATTTATGGAAATTCCACATTGCCACGGCTGGGCTCAGGCTCTCTATATGACCACCAGTCGTCTTTTGACAGTGTATGAGTGTTGCTGGAGAGGGAATATTGAAATTCTACACACTGCGCTAGGGTTAAACTGCAAACTGTATGATTTAGAAAAAGCAGGCTAATTCAGAGGAGGAGTACCACAATATTTATATTATCCTGCTGTTTCCATGAAGAAAAAAACTTGGCACATTTATTTATATTCTTTATTTTAGAAATATAGATATGAAGACTCACGAGCCGATTCTGAAACGTGCAATCCAACGCTAAAACCGTTAGCGCCCAGTACGCTACAGCTGCTATCATCCAGTAAGCTACAGCTGTTACCATTCAGTACGCTACAGCTGTTACCATCCAGTAAGCTACAGCTGTTACCATTCAGTACGCTACAGCTGTTATCATCCAGTAAGCTACAGCTGTTACCATTCAGTACGCTACAGCTGTTACCATTCAGTACGCTACAACTGTTACCATCCAGTACGCTACAGCTGTTACCATCCAGTACGCTACAGCTATTATCATCCAGTAAGCTACAGCTGTTATCATCCAGTAAGTTACAGCTGTTACCATTCAGTACGCTACAGCTGTTATCATCCAGTAAGCTACAGCTGTTACCATCCAGTACGCTACAGCTATTATCATCCAGTAAGCTACAGCTGTTACCATCCAGTACGCTACAGCTGTTATCATCCAGTAAGTTACAGCTGTTACCATCCAGTACGCTACAGCTGTTATCATCCAGTAAGTTACAGCTGTTACCATTCAGTACGCTACAGCTGTTACCGCCCAGTACGCTACAGCTGTTATCATCCAGTAAGCTACAGCTGTTACCATTCAGTACGCTACAGCTGTTACCATCCAGTACGCTACAGCTGTTACCATCAAGTACGCTACAGCTGTTACCATTCAGTACGCTACAGCTGTTACCGCCCAGTACGCTACAGCTATTATCATCCAGTACGCTACAGCTGTTACCATTCAGTACGCTACAGCTGTTACCATCCAGTACGCTACAACTGTTACCATCAAGTACGCTACAGCTGTTACCATCAAGTACGCTACAGCTGTTACCGTTCAGTACTCTACGCACCTCGGCCTGTATTGGTACGCTTCTCTTTGCGCGCAGAGTCGAGGTGCAGCTCACAACAAATCGGCGTCACTTTCGCACGATGTTCAATTAATGCGCGCTTCGGGTGTGCGATTTTTTTCCCGAAATAATTATATAAGGACCCCGCCAAAAAGCCTGTGTTGTACGCGGGACACGGGTTGGAGCGCGCCTTAATTCGAGGACACACTGGACTTGGCGTAACAGCGATATTCTGCTCCACTGGGGTGCCACGCACATTATTTGCACAGACGGCCCAACACCCAATTTGAGGAGTGGTGGCCCAGCCAGGCTGTGGAAGTTCAGGATTGTCCCTCCCCTACTCGAGGGTTGCGCCCTGCACACCGCAAGCACCACCGAAGGGGAGTCGTGCGCGGCATTTGTGTGTATCGGTTGCATGTAACTTGCGTACAATTTGCAGGTTACACACAAACACACACGGTTTGTGAGGGCTGCTGCACAAATCCGCAAGCAATCTCGCACGGGGCAGCGCGTAACCCGATGCGCGGATTGGGTGAACAAACACATGAATTCGCGAATGAAGTCATAGTCTACGCGCGAATGGAGGAATGAATTGACGAACGAATTAATCGATTACACTTCCAACGATTTCGTGGGTAAACACGAGAATTTCTGGGATAAATAACGAATTCATGAATGCCTGAACGAATTGAATGTATCCATACCCGAACGAACCAACGCATTAAAATGTTACGTGGTGTCTCTGAGCGATAAATACATAGCATGTAAAATATTTAGACGCCCATGAGACACCATGGCAGAGGCTCTGCCTCGCCGGGGGGCGGGGGGGGCAGTGTGACTGGGCCAGATATTTCGTTATTGATCCTCGCCGGGATAATCGTCGGGGCGCTGCAGTTGACACTTCCCATGGCAATTACAACGGTCTGCGGTTTGTGACACGCTGCTGTACCGAACAAATTAGCAAACAAATTGTGATCAGCTGGCTCGCGGTGAGGCACAGGCCAAGCAGTCTTGCCCAACAGAAACTAAAGTTCCGATTAAATCGTTAAATAATGGCTTAAGGACAAATACAAAAAAACAACTGCTATTTTTTTTTGTGGGGGGGGGGGGGGGAGAAACCAGATCTTGATGTGTTGGTGAACAGGATTCTTCATCAAGGTTTTACCTCAGCGCAATGGCGGAGCCAGGATTTCAGGTAGAGGGGGCAACACCTCCAGCAATGAAAAATGATAGAGGAGTTGTTAGTAATAAGTAAGGACTTGTTCCTTGCTTTTTATTCGACAACGCGTGTGCGGCGATGGCGCAGCCATCGATCGAGGGTCGAATTCGAACCGCGTTGTGTGATCGGCATCGCGCTCGCTGAAGGTGTTGATGCCTTCAGGGAAGTCGTGTCCTGGATACTGCGCACAATTCTGTGAGTCACCTATAACCGCTTTGCCGTTACTTATTGCCAATTATGGACTCAGACTATTGTCCTATAATCTCACAGAGTCCCTGGCACTTAATAATATGCTACACAGTGGTAGTGGGGGTCGCAAAATGCCGATTTATTACTAATAAACCGCAATGATCCGATCGAAATTAGGGATTTCGATCGGATCATTGGAGGGGGGGCACGTGCCACCGCCCACCCCCCCCCCCCCCCCCCCACTGGCTCCGCCAGTGCCTCAGAGAGTGAAAACGGTGACTATTATATACATGGGGGAGTGGTGCCGGAGTGGTTAATGCACTGCACTATGAACCCCGGGAACCGAAGTCCGATTCCCGGTCACATCTAACATATCGGTGGCGAGTGATTTCTGAACCGGTCCTGGGTCACCCCACACCCCTCCCCTTCACCAACCAGCACTGACCAGCGCGGATAATTTTGGGGCAAACAATCTCCGTGACCGAGACGGCACGTGGAACCCTTCATCCAGCAGTGGACCGATAAAGGGCCAAAACATGATTTTATATTGGAGGTGCTGTGCACCGCAGAGTAGAGGATGGCCAGATGCATCTCGGGGATCACAAGACCGGATGGGATCAGTAATGAAGAGACGAGGGTGAAGGCAAGAGTGCTGGGACCCATCTCAGACAAGCTGAAAGAACGTTTGACTACAATGGCTAGGGCAGGGGTCGGCAATCTGAGACTCCGGAGCCGCATGCAGCTTTTTAAGGGCTGCTTCGTGACGTCATTTACTTGTTAAAACCCGTCTCGTATTCACACGCATTTCTGCTCTTGAAATATAGATATGTTTTTTTTTGTAACGAATTAAAAAAACTAGATTCGAAGCTTTCGTGACTGCAGGAATTACTCGTTGGTTCTTTCGGTAAAGTCACGTAGAAAATCAAATCAAATAATAGAATGCGACGTTTCGGTGTGCACTTGGTGTGTGTCTCGCTCGGTGTGCAGAGAGAGACACACACACTTGGTTTGTGTCTCGCTCGGTGTGCAGAGAGAGGCACACACTTGGTGTGTGTCTCGCTCGGTGTGCAGAGAGAGACACACACACTTGGTTTGTGTCTTTGTGTCTGCCTATGTTATTTCCGTGTCTGTGTTTCATCATTCATTCTTACCTGATGATGGTTGCTTGTGTTGCAACCGAAACATCGTGTTATATTTTTATTTGATTTTATTATCTTCGTGACTTTACCGAAAGAACCACAGATATTTTTTTATTTTAATCTGGCTATTCTTGTTATTTTGGTTGCCGACCCAGATGAAATTAAAACCACATCAGAATAAAGGTGATGAGCATGGAAGCACCAGAGGTGGGACCAAGAGGCCAGACATAGAGATAGACAAGAGGTGGTTCAAAGTGGTGAAGCGGCATGTGAAAGTTTGTACGTGGAGATGCTGGCCCGGGACAGGAATGAGTGCACTCACGACTTTATTTCAGCTGGCAAAGCCCACTGAGCTAAGCAGCTCTGCTATAAAGACGACCAAAGCCCAAGATCGTCGTCAGTGGTGGCGGTTGCAGAACACAAGAGGGAGGGAAGTGTGGCGAAAGAGGATAAATTCCAGGAAAGAAGAGGACAACGAGTGCAGAGGATATAGGAGGAGCTCTTAACGGTTTA